CATATATAAATCTGTGGACTATAGCTCACTGTAATGAGCATAAAGAGTAAGAACAAGTAAAAATGAAAGTTTTATGGCTTGTGGGAAAAGAAAAGAAAAATTCCTTTTTTCTGGGTTGCCTTCCTTTTTTTTTTTTTTAAAGCTCGTTGTTAGGCAAACAGTTCTGCAAGAGAAGAGATGATAATTGCAAGAGAGGAAAATGAAAATTGTCATTGTTGCAACTAAAAAACATCAATTTAGACTTAAGCACAATAGAAGAGCATAACCTTTCATAATGGCCATATAACTAGCAACATTTCTAATGTCAATGTAAGTTATAATTATAAAAAGCAATTCAATTATAAAACAAAGGTTGCTTGGGTGTAAAATGACAGCCTGAGTAAAAGCCAAGTTTAAGAGTATACTCATGCAAGTATTTGTATTCCTGATGCTCCTTCTTTACTATAAACTGATTAAGGAAATAAGTTACTTTTCCTACATTTCTCCTTTATGTAAGTAGAATTTTATGGCTTGTGGTTATCAAACATAAGTCATTTGAGCTCCTGAGCAGAGCTTCGTAAACGCAAATCAGTCAATAATATTCAGCAATTGAACCACTAAATTCAATGTTATAAAGTCATTTGTCTTCATCTTAGTATTTTCTTTGCAAAACTGAAAATAATGGGTTTACTCTTCTTTTAAAATTAAAAATTACTTTTAGCCCCTCCCTGGTGGCCCAACGGGTTAAAGAATGGCACTGCAAGCTAGCTGCAGCTACTTCAGGGTGAGTTCAATGCCAGAGCTGACCCACATGGCATGGCAGACCTCTCCTGTCTCCCCCGCTGCTCCCCTCAGCAGTTACTTCCTTGATCTGCCTGTTCTGCTTCCCGCTCTATCTCTGGTAAAATTTTCACTGCTCCTGCACCTCTGGCCTATACCCCAGTTCTGTATGCATAAATAAATAAATCATTAAAAAAGTAATTTTTTTTTAAAGATTCATTTATTTATGCTTACAGAATTGGGGTATAGGCCAGAGGTGTGGTGGGTGGGTAAGAGGATTCACCAGAGACAGAGTGGGGAGCAGAAAGGAAGATCTACTGAAATACATTGCTGTTGAGGGGAGCAGCGGGCGGTCTGGAGAGGACTGCCAAGCCATGTAGGTCAGCTCCCTGGCCGGGGATCGAACTTGTGCTGTAATGGCTTCAGAGTTTCATAATGCAGTGCTTTAATCTGTTGCACCACAAGAGCCCAAAAAGTTAAAGTTTGTAAGTTTACTGAACTAACCACATTAATGGTGGAGCTGGGTTTGCTTGCTTTGCTTTAAACAAAGCAATTAAGTTTGAATATAAGTCATGGTGGTTTTAAAAGTGACTATACTTAAATTTAAGGCAATATGACACCCTTCATACCAAAATATTTTCTATCATTTGTGAAAGCAAAGAGATGAGAATAACCTATGATTATGCAAACTGTGGAAGGGTAAGGCAAGGAAGGACTTAATCAAAACTATCTTTCTTAACAATAAGTACAGAGAAAAGTAAATTATAGCAGGAATACATTAAATCAGCAGCTGACAGAACTTTCTAACCTTATGTAACGACTATGAAAAATTACCAAGAAGTATTGTTTTCCTTTGAAGATTAAAACAACACAACTAGTTAACCATTGAGACGTAATGTTAACCTAGAAAAAGAGAACTGGCTACGGTAGTGGCTTGAGATTCCTATCCTTCTTTCTTGGGTTAGAGGAAACAAAAAGGGACGCTAAAGCAAACCTGTATGTATAGCCTCCACCTGTCTACTGAAGTCCTTTGGGACTGAGCAGTTCTGAATAACTGGGTTTTCAGGAGAGCTCTGTACATCATTCCAAGAACAAAAATTTTACATGAAAACATTACTAAAAACTGATTTTAAATTCCCAGATCTTTCTTCTCCTTCCTCAGATTCAAGATTTTTTTTTTAACATAGTATAGAAGACATGATGCAAATCTATAAAATAATTGATCCTAAATCTACGTGAATATTTTTTAAAAATTGTAATAGTTTATTTTTACATATTTTTGTGCATTTTTCCATCTCAATTCCAATTACATGAGTATTTTTTAAGGCCTAGAACTATGCTAAACATTATATACTTGGCCTCATTTAGTTCCTGCAAGCTAATGAGGCAAGTATTCCTATCTTATATAAAAAGAAATCTTTGGACATTATCAAGGATACACAAGCAAGAAAACCTATATTCAAGCTTTTATCCAACTCTAAAAGACTAACCTCTTAACCTTCTCAGATTATCTATTATTAAGTAGGTAAAAGCCACATACTATTATGAGTTTAAAGGTAGCTGCTTACATCCTTTACACAACTCTTAATGATTTTTCAAACTTTTCTAGCATCAGGTTCTCATTTTAAGGTCTTTTAAGACTCTACTATGTTCATGATTTTAACTCCCATGATTATTACAAAAACACTGCTGCCACATTCATTGATATTTGTATAAACTTCTACTGACTGTTCATAAAAACAGTGGATAGACACTGCAAAGTATAATAGGTGGCAGTGACTTCAGTGTATACACGTTTCAGAACAAAGTCTCTTTCATGTTAGGAATACACTAATCTTATAGCTTTTAGTTTTTAAAGAAGGTATATTCTTATGGTATCCCTATTACCCTTTCAGTTTCCCTTCAAATTTGCCTAATCTTAGAAAAGTCATTAACAATACAAACTCATTAAAATCTTGTGAAATATGAATGAGGCTTCCAATGGATATCATACATATAAACTGTGACATGTGTGACATTTATTCTCTACTGACAGCTCTGATAGATGAGATGCTACCATGCTGGCACTGAAACATGGAGGTGATCTAAACACATCAGCTAACTTGAAAAATCAAGATTACACATAGATAGAAAGGCACATTACCCAGTCAAGGAGCCTGATCATACAGGAGAGTAGGACAGTGAGTACAGCATAAAGTTATTTCCATATACAAATAACAAAAATCAAATGTGCCATAAAACAAGAAACAGAGGGACCCTTCCTGGTGGTGCAGCGGGTTAAAGCACAGCACTGAGAAGCTAAAGCCACTTCAGCATAAGTTCAATCCCTGCCCCAGAGGTGACCCACATGGTGCAGCAGACCTCTCCTGACCTGCCCGCTGCTCCCCTGAGCAGTGTTACTTCATCAGTCGGCCTGTCCTGCTTCCCACTCTGTCTCCAGTGAATCCTTTGATCGCTCTGTACCCCAGTTCTGTATGCATTGATATAAAACAAACAAACAAATACAAAACAAGAGGCAGAGGTGTTGACTAGGTATGGAAAGTTTAAATAAGAAGATTCTTTGATGGCCTGTCCTAATAAAGGTGAGCCCCAGGTTTAAAAAATGTTAGGTGACTGATCCCAACTCATTCTGGCCCTAAGAGGTACAGAAGGCAGAGCATCAGAGAAAAATAGTGGAGTACAGAGCAAGGAGGTCAAGGGAATTCCATATAAATTTAAAAAGACAAACACATGTGTTTTTGTTTTGATTGGGAAAAGAACAGTAGGTACAGATATGGAAGAACGGTTGCCTTGAAGAGAACAGAGGTCTATTATTTAAATTTTGGCTGGGGTCAGCTCTGCTTATGTTCTACCACATGTGGACAAATAAAAAGCTTCACAGGCCCTCCCTGGTGGCGCAGCGGGTTAAAGCACTGCACTGAGAAGTTAAAGCCACTTCCGCATGAGTTCGATTCCTGCTTGCCCCGGAGGTGACTACATGGCATGGCAGACCTTTCTCGACCCACCCGCTGCTCCCCTCAGCAGTGTACTTCATCGATCTGCCTGTTCTGCTCCCCGCTCTGTCTCTGGTGAAGCCTCTCACCGCCCCTGAGCCTCTGGCCTGTACCCCAGTTCTGTATGTACAAATAAATAAATCTTTTTTAAAAAAAGCTTCACAAAGCTATTTTTATCATAGAAGCTTAATAGACATTTTGTTTTTAAACAAGGTGACATGCTACTATTATAGTGTATAAAGTTGTTTTGCTCCTGAGATTGTTAGTATGAAAGCTTCATTAATCAAGTAATTGTTATAATTAAAAATATTTCTAATTACAGTTGTTAATAGCTAATATTAGGTATTTTACAACACCAGAACATTTACCTATGAGAAAAGGGTGGCCATGTTTCAGCAGGGGGATAGTGGGTGGCAATTTCAACTGTGCTTTTAGTTCCACTGCCCTCTGTTCCTTGGTAGGCCTCTCTTAAGAAGTAATATGTACTCTGACCTGAACATTTTTAATTCTTAGGAGGCAAGAAGTTGATGGAGCATAGAGTACAGCTGAGTCTCATTGCTTCAAAGGCCTTCCTGGGTTGCTCCATGGGGATGCTTTTTTAAAAAGATTTTATTTTATTTATGCATGTAAGAACTGGGATATAGGCCAGAGGTGTGGAGGACAAAACGCTTCTTCAGAGACAGAATGGGGAACAGAACAGGCAGCACTGCTAAGGGGAGCAGCAGGTGAGACAAGAGAGGTCTGCTGCCCCTTGAAGGTCACCTGCCTGGCCTGAGATCAAGCTCTTGCTAAAGTTGCTGTGGATAGCTTCATAGTGCTGTGCTTTAACCCTCTGCACTGCCAGGGGCCCATGTTTTTTTTTTTTTCAGAATAAGACCCCTAAATATTTAAAGCTGAATCTCTTATTCCACCTACCATGACATTTTTCTCTTTAGGTCTGCCACTCCTTAAGTCTCCCTCCACGCTAATCAGGATGACATGACACAGAGCATCTTGGTTTTTTCAGACCAATAGCTGGTGGCTATCTACTAAAAAACAAAATAAAAATCAAGTTGTTAAAGAAGAAGAGATATTTGTTGGGAATGTAATAAATATGGTTCCCCTCTGTTCTCTTTACTATATTCAACTATGACTATAAAAAGTGATCACAATTTATAGCCAGAAAGTTATAAAATGATTTTATTACTCCTGCATCTATTATTTAGAAATAAAAAATGATATTATCTCTTAGGTTTTCTTGATACTAGGGGAAAAAGTAATCCTTGATAAAATACAACATATAATCATACAACTTGGAGTATAATTTAAGTCAATTAGCATGACAAAAAAAGTTTATTTTGTTCAATAAGGAGATAAATAATGAAGTTAAGCAGTCAAAAGAAATAGCAAAAAACAGGATATTCACCAATAGGTAAATATAAACAGAACAGGTTCATTCCCAGTTCACTCAATCACATTTACATATTTAAAATTGAAAATACATCTTAATTTATCAAGGATCTGGCCACATTTACACATGGAAGGGAAATTTACATCAGCTTTTTGTTATGACCTCAGAATCTTCTCACAGTAAAATAAATTTCATGAAAGTTGTGTGTTTTCATTAATTAATACAAATTCTGCAAAGTAAGTGCTGAGTGCTTCTGAAGCACACTTTTTCCAAAGGAGTAAAGTCTTCAAATGGGTCTACTTGATGCTGCGGACAACTCTCCTGCAATGGTTCGTTTTCATCTCTTCCAATGCTTGTTCCAGTTGCTGAACCAAATGGAGCAGGGTGGCTGGGTCCGTCTTCAAGACTCTGGTGCTGTGGTCATCATTCTGATGAAGGTGCAGCTTTATAGTCACTGATGGTTTAATCTGTTGCCTGAGACTTCTGCTTGCAAGCTTGATTTTTATATGGAATAAAAGCATAATAAATATCAATAGTCCTGCAACACATTTATAATTACTTCATTCCATATATAAGAGTGAAATTTAAGATGAATCACAAGCTTCAAAATGAAAAGTCAACTTTATGCATGCAACTTTACAGTATGAAAGGCTGTATCATTTCTGAAAGATAACAGAAAAAGCATGAACCATAATGGGAAAATAATTGGTAAATGTAACTACAGTAAAATTACATTTTCTTAAAAAGAAACAAAGATGGTAGGAAAAAAAGACACAAACTGACAAAAAAAGTTTTTTGTAACAAATATAACCAAACAGAAGATTAGTATCCAGAATGTATGAAACTGAGAATATTTATACCAAAAAAAGCCTCAACAAGAGAAAAACGTGGCAAGTACGTGCAACTTTATTTGAAATCAGGAAAATGACCAGTAAAATCGTAAGTTACTGTCTTATATCTATCAGACTGCCAAGAATTAAAAGTCTACCCATATGAAGTGTTACAAGTGGTAGTGATGTGAACTCTCATCCACTGCTGGTGAGAGTGATAGGAATCATTTCAGAAAACAATATACATTACTAAAAATTCCACTCCTGGCAATGTATCTTAAACTCATACACATTTGCTTATAAAATTTGCTTGCAAGAGCCAAATTAGAAACATCTCAAATATTCATTAACAATGTAAAGAACAAATTAAGAATATCTATACATGAGATGCTATCTAATTAGCAAAGAAAAGAGATGAACTTAGGAAATATAAACTGTTATAGATGAATCTAAAAAGAAAATGTTCAGTCAAAAAGCAGGTTGACTGTCTGCAGGGCCCTAAGGTGGGAAGGACATCTGCAAGCTGATATTCCAAAAATTGCGGAGTTAAGGGGAGCGGGAGTGAGGAAGACATGGAGTCGGAGTTGGGTGCAAATCTTCCTGCTCTGACTTCAGCAGCAGTTTATTTTATACATTTCAAGCAGGCAGAGGGACGTCATTAGCATAAGAAAGAGGCTGAGATCACAATCACCTTTTTTCTAAGAATAGTCTGGGGTCTTTTTGAACTTTACTTGAGATTATAACATTCTAAAGTCAATCAAGGCTAAAAACAGGTACATAGATGCACAAAGTTTAAGACCAATATTATTATAGTGAAGATTAACTAAAATAAAGTCCCTTAAACCTTATCTATTACCTAATGGGTTTTTTTTCTACCGGAGACATCCTGGGAGGCAGGAAGAGGAAATTTCTTGCAAATCAAATTACAGAAAAGTTCTTTGAAGAAACTTGTTAAAAGTTTTAAGTGAGTTTCCTTGAGGTCTAGGCAGTTGAAAGCATAATTAGCTCTGAATAGGAGACTTAGGTGAATTTCCTTATCGAAAGACTAGATAGTAGACTTCTGAAAGACTAGTTAGAAGACTTATGTGAAGTATAGTAGGTAGAAAACCTGATTAGCTCTAAATAGGCTACTTGGATGAATTTCCACATATAAAGGCCAGACAGTAGAAAGTTTGAGTGATTCTTAGAAGCTGAATAGAAGGCTAAGTGATAGTAGAGTGATAAGATTTCGGTTTCCTCCATCCCTCAGTGAGAGAGACTTTGCAGAAACAGCCCTTTTACTTTTATTACCAGCCAGCTGTCAAGTCACTTTTGACTTGACAAAAGTGGAATTTCTCACCCTGGTGCAGTGCTTGCTTGTCAGGGCCAGGTAGGGCCTTATGAGGCTGAGGCAATCCAATTGTAAGCTGAAGGTTGCTCAGAATATTTTGATATTACGATTATACCAAAAAGAGAGGTTATAACATAAGTCAGCGTGGAAAGTCTGATTTTTCAGAACATTTCCCCTCCATCCATCCTGTGTCTGTTGACAGAGGTTGCGTAGCTTGTGTCAGTTGACCAAATACCCAAAAGTGGATGACTGGATTAAAAAGTGGTACATATACATAATGGAGTATTACTCAGCAACCAAAAAAATAAATAAATAAACACATGCCTTTTTTAGCAACATGGATGGAGCTGGAAAAGATCATGCTTAGTGAAATAAGCCAGAAAGAAAAGGAAAATACCAGATGGTTTCACTCATAGCAGGAATATTAATGGAACAGGTGAGAAAATAACAGTAATAATGAACAGCTATATACCAGAGACATTTTTATGGGGTAGAGTGGGGGAAGGGGATCAAAAAACAGTGGGGAGAGGGAAATGCAATGGACTATGGTGATGGCACATGGGTGATTTGGTGATGGAAAGCCCCTGGGGATTACAACTGAGATGGAAAAAGGCACAAAATAATGTAAAAATAAACTTTTATATTACTTAAAATAAAAAAGCAGGTTGAAGAATACATGTAAGTCTAAAAAATAAACATTTCATTGAAAAAAAAGTATAAAAAATTATTAAAAAAGACTGAAAATTCAGGGATCTCTAGAGGTCTCGCAGAGACAATTAGGAGAGGACACAGGTAACTCAAAGTTACCAGTTTGCATGCTAACGGGTACTTGTTCTATTCTTCTTATTCTATTCTTATTCTTCTTTAAAGGTGTGTTTTTATTTATGCATACAAGAACTAGGGTACAGACCAGAGGTGTGCAGGGTGAGAGGATTCACCAGAGACAGAGTAGGGAGCAGCACATCTGCCTGGGTGCACTGAAACACACTGCTGAGGGGAGCAGGGGGTGACACAGAAGAGGTCTGCTGCACCACATGGGTCAGCCTCCTTGGTCAGCTGGGAGATTGACCTGGTGCTGCAGTGGCTGGCTACAGCTTGATAGCACTGTCTTCAACCCCTGAGCCACCAAGATAGGCCCTATTATTATTCTTTCAATAAAAAAAATCTATAATTTTTGGTTTGCATGATATATTCCTATTTTTTTTAATAAGTACCATTAACATAAAAAAAAAAAAACTACTAGAAACAATGAGCTTGTGATAATAGTTAATCCCCACATCAGAGTCTGTTCTCTAAAAGCCATTCTCATGTCAAAGAAACTGGACCTTCTTTGATGTAATTAGAAGATTCAAGAACTGGACAGGAATTAGATGAGCTCAAAACATGTTCTTGTATAAAAAGAAAGCAAGGCATTTATCAAAAGCAACTGAAGTCATGCTGAAAAGAAAAGTAGCCACTTGAAGAAATTCTAAGTGAATAACAATTCTAATTCTGAAATTTTAAGATAAATTTGACACCACAACATAGAATATTCTAATAAGTTCTTCCAATTAATTCTAACTAATCTGGGCTTCCAAGAGAACCCAGGATACTTATACTGAATATTAAATGTTCCAAAATAATTTGTAAATAGGCCAATTTGCCCTTTGTATGAGCTAGTCCCCAAACTTAAAAGATTATTTTTAAGGTAAAATATCTCTCTAAAATCATTTCTGTACTACAGAAGATCATAGATATGACGTATAGTCTGACTATCATATAACTGAAAATATTCATTCATTTACACATTGTTTATATTTCTTTTTCCTCTATATCTGCACTGACATAGCTGGACCAAATGTACACAGGTGTGAAATTAAGACATGAACTTTTTGTGGAAAGGCTTTCGATCTCTCTGTCTATCCTCCAATTTTTAAACATATTATCTAAAGAACTTGTACCAGATACATAGCTATACTTTCCTTTAAATTTTCTAGATAAAAAAGTTATATAACATTACTAACAATCTTCTAGTAATATATAAGCAGTCCTAATTATTCCTCAGAAAGAAATGTATATAAGAGTTCAAGCAGGATTTTGGAATCAGCTCTTTATTCCCATAGACAAAAGAAACTTGACTTACCGTATTTTGGAGGGACTGCCTTTGGGGAAAAAAGCGAGGACTCGAGGGTCAGCCTCACCACAAGCAAAAATAACAGAAAGGGAAGGATAACTTGAGATTACAGTCTTGCCAGGAGTGCCAAGTAGGCACTGTGACCCAATGTCAGGTGAGACGTTAGAGAGGGAACACAATGTGTCTCCCTAGGAATTGAAAGGTTTACTCCCACCATGAATACCCCATCACCAGGGAACAGTACAGGAGAGAAGAGTGTTTTCATCCAGGCATGAGGAGCAAAAAAGAGGAACAGTCCAAAAGAGCAAAAAGGAGACACCGCTCGGCACTTACTCTGGGCTTTTTCTCTAATCTACATAGCTGTGGCATGGATGGACATCATAACAACTCAAGTCACATAATAAGCTAGGATCTAAGGGGCATCACCTCACCACTCTGTGATCAGGGGCTTTTGCACTTTCCACTCAGTTCTTGTACCAGGCGGCACTAACCCACATTAACTGCTAGAACTTGTACCTCTAGGAAAAACGCTGTAGAATATGCTAGGAACAAGCCACAATCAGTACCATCCCAGGGCTTGTTCTCAGCTAGTTGTTGCTGGCCCAAGAAATACCTTCCATCCTCCCTTGTGCTCCTAGGGTTTCTAGTCAGCCTACCAGCTACTAAGACTGCAATCATTCACAGTACATGCCCAACTTTGCACTCCACCCCTCAGCTCCCTGCCCCAATTGCCTGAGTCACTGGGAAAATTCTGTTTGTAAAACTCTGAAATCAGAGGTAGCCTACAGCTAGAGGTAAGCTGCAGCCTGAAACTGCCTGAAGCTGACAGTGGTGGCAGATCCCTTCCTTGGCTCAAGAAACTATAGCCCCTTGGCTGAGTTCTAAGGTCACTATCCAACACTGACCTTGAGCTCCAGTCATCCTTACTGGTGATAAGGCTTTAACCTATACAGCAGAAAGTCCAGCACACCAGGCCGTTACTCCAGGCCTACAACTGGTGTACATCCTACTACCTGAAACCTTCAGTTCTGGTACAAGTTGATTACATCGGGAATGAAAAGAAAAGTTGTTTAGTCTAATCCACTAAACACTGAGTACCAAACATAATGAGGAGACAGTGGAGTTTATCCAGTTTATCACAACTGATGGATCAAGACAAAACCTTGGAAAAGATCCTAATACTAGAGACTGAAGTAAATAAACTACTTGAGGAAAAGATCAAAGCAACAGTCTTAATGATGCTTACCGAAATTACGAGAACAATGGACTAATTAAATGACAACTACAACAATGACAGAGAAAATTCCAAACAGAAATCATGAGCTAAAGAACACAAAGCTGAACTAAAAAAATACAACAGAGGGATTCAATAGTAGACAAATTGAAGCAGGGGAGAGAATTATTGAGCTGGAAGAAAGGGTAGCAGAGAGCATCTAAAAATACCAGCAAAAAATAAAAAGAATTAAAAAAAAAAGGTTAAACTTAAGAAACTTATGCAAAAATACCAAAAGAAACAACATGATAGAGGATCGAGAAAAAGAGAAAAAAAGGGGCAAGAATTCTATTTGAAAAAATAATAGGCAAGAATTTCCTCTACCTGTGGAAAGAAACACACATCCAGTTCCAGAAAGGTGAAAAGTGTTCCCAATAAAATAAACTTAAATAAATATTCATCAAACACAATATAATTAAAATGACAAAAAATAGATAAAAAGAAAATCTTAAAAGCAGTTAAAGAAAATCACACCATGCATAACAATTTCACAGCAAAAATCTTAGAGTCCTAAAGGGAATGGAATGGCACATTCAAGGTGCTGAAAGGAAATGATCTCCAGCCAAAACAGTCTTCCCATTTGAGTCATCACTCTTAAATTATTTCGTTTATTGACACTATTAAAAGAATCTTAATTGTGTTAGTAATTTATAAAGTATGGGAAATATTCCTATTAAAAAAGTACACAATAATGATTTATTTTAAAAAGGAACTATACAATACCTACTAGTTTAAGAACTGTTTACTCATTACCATTTTCCAGGAAAAAAATCAGCTAGTCAAAATGATAGATGCTGTATCCTGTTAGCCATGGTGCCAGTCTTCATCTGACAAGCAAGAGTCTACTCCAGTTAAAATCCCTTGTAATAAATGAGCTCAGGAGATTAATTAGTTCTCTGAGTAGCTTTTTTGGTCCTTAAGTGCATTTTACCACATGAGAAACATTCAATCAAGAAAGTCTTAAGTTTATACTGTATCAGTTCTTGTGGTAACTCAGCTATTCAAACTCATTTTACTGAAGAAATAAGCTCTCATTTAAATTTCAGAAAATGAGGAAAATTGTTTTTAACTTGTAAGCATTTCTTCACAATGGGAAAGCTCAAAACATCTCAATAAAGACAGTGAAAGATCAAAGGGTTATTGGACCCCCAAAAGTCCACATGAGGAAAAGATCTCCAAGACAAATTACCACTGAACTTCATAAACAACCACCAAACCCACATCTCCTTTCACCTTCATTAGGAGAGGACCTAAACGTAATAGTGTTTTTTCCCTCCCACCCCCATAAGACTTGCTGTTTACCATGTCCCCAAGAGCAAAAACGGCACCTTTTTTTTTGAGGTATCCATACCACCTGATTCCTGGTACATAAGAAATAACTGATGTATCACTTCTTAAGAACTTGTTTTAAGAAGCTGTTACTGTCTCTCCTTTTTTTATATTCAGCACTAAAAGTGTACTATGAATCAGGCATTGTGCTGGGGACATCCTAGTGAATATAGTACCTACTCTCATAAAGCCTATAATATGTTTATATAGTATGCTTTGAAAATACCTATCTGAGTAATACTGGATTAAATTGTTAAACCCCTCTAACTAAATTTTATAATCTATTAGATTACTTTATTGCAAATCAGGAAAAATCCACAATGACAGTGGTTTATGAACTCAATTGCACACTAAAATTACCTGAGTAAAAATGGAGTTTTTATAAATCCTGATGCCCAGACTAAACCCTATATCAATAGATAAGAATCTCTGGAGGTGAACAGAGACATCTGAATTTTCTTAACATTCCTACATGTAACAAGACTGGGAAGGAATGCTGTTGACACATGTTCATCTGCTCATTCCTGTATCACAAGGGCCTTTAGAACTTATGCTGTTTCCTTTTTCTAGAATATTTATCTTGATTTTCTCTATTCCTTCATCCCTTCTGAAATTTCAGCACCTTCTGCTGAGTTTTTGAGGACTGTGTCAATACACACTCAACTATTTGAGCTATAGCCTTTTTGAAATAATATATCCATTTAACAATCATATTCTGCTCCTCTCTCATTCCCCAGAAGTTTATTTTATACAGGTTTCCTACCCTATTCAGAAGTAGAATCTTCTGATTTGGTAGGTTATTTTGGGGGTCTAGGAATATTAGTAACATTAATTTATACAGAAATATTTTTTAGCATGTACTACAGTGTATGTATGTTATTATTTAAATAGAAAAGTTTCAAAAATTGAAGCACCGCCTTACAAATATGCAGAGCCTTCTTTTCCAAGATAACCTATTTCTTACAAACTTTGGAAATTAAATTGATTCAAACATATTACAAATATAAGAAAATGACCTATCTGTGAAAGTATCTGAAGAATGAACATTTTCAGATTGAAGTGTCAAAGTAGCATTTGAATAAAGTGGTAAATAATATAAAAAAAATCTGAGGACATAAACCTAATATAAATCTCATATTCAATGTAAGGTTAAAAAAATAAAACTATGACCCTCCCTGGTGGCCCAACAGGTTAGGACACAGCACTGCAAGCTGGCAGCAGCCACTTCAGTGACAGTTCAATCCCCGCCTCAGAGGTGATCCACATGGCATGGTAGACCTCTCCTGGCTCAGCCGCTGCTCCCCTTAGCAGTGTACTTCGTAGATCTACCTGTTCTGCTCCCCATTCTGTCTCTGATGAATCTTCTCACCACCCCTGCACCTCTGGTTTGTACCCCAATTCTGTATGCATAAATAATAAATAAATCTTTAAAACAGAAAAACAAAAAATAATGCTATACCTGTACATCTAGTCGCCATTCAAGGTTTTGGTAATTGGGAAGGTCTCGTACCAATTCACTCAGAATAGTTCGGATCTCCTTTCTGTTGTCCAGATAGAGCTGAAGCAACAATTTGTTCAATTCTTCAGAGAATCCCAGCACAAAAACAGAGTCTTGGAAATCCAGTTCAGAAATCTTAAAGTTAAGCAAGTTAAACAGAACATTAAAATTTATCTTTGTCTAGAAAAAGCATGAGTGCTTGATGTACATAAAAACATGCTATTATTTATTTTCTGCCTAGTTGAAGAAACACTCATTACAAATACAACCTTTGTCTGCTACTCCAAGATCTGAAACACAATACACAAAAACATTGTAAGTATAAAAACTCATTATTCAAATGCCCAGTTTTCTCTCAAATTCTTCAACTCTAATACTGCCAATATACCAAAAACTGAAGTCATTCAAGTATCCTTCCTCTTAGAATTTATACCATGATATAATGTTTTAATAACAAGCAGAATTGGAAGCAATTCTAATTTATGCTAACACATCACATTATTGTCATACTGTTTAGATGTGGCTTCACTAACTTAACTTATAAACCATTTAGCAACCGTATTAAAATGCTCAGGTACCTGATGGGTATATGATGTAAAGAATAAGAAAATATCCCAAGGTTTTTTTTTAGGATCGATAAAAAACAGTCCACAGAATCCCTTACCATGAGCTTTGAGCTTTCAGTAAGGAGGTATGTCAGTCCTTCCACACCATGCTGGACAGTGTCACTACTCACATTGAGTTTTCCTGAGAGGGGAAAATGAACAAACTGTGTGAAATTTATCCTTGTTAAGTATATACGTTAGTCCGTATTTTCAATCTCTGCAATCAAAAAAATCACATAGGTAATATCCTCATGTTCTTTCTCAAGACCCAGCCAAATGCCTTCATTATTTCCTAAATAATAAATAAATAAATAAATAAATTTCCGGCTCCTACAAACTTGCCTGAAGAGGAACTCGAAAAGCGCTGACAATCTCAGAAAACGCTCCTCATGCACTGGTAAAACACACAACTACAGCAAAAATAATAGCCGAGACAATTAATAATCAAACCCAAGACATTTGTGCCTCCCCAAGCTATTCCACACATCTACGGTGTATTTAAGCCTTAGAACCACCTCTGGCAGATGGTGTAATGCCCGACACATGAGGAAACTGACCTAAGAGAAGCTTTACAAATCTCACAGCTCCTTCAGGCGGGGCAAGACTTGTGCCGAATGGAGCCCTTGAGGCTTTATCCTACTACAAAAGGAACAAAACGGCAGGGGCCGCAATATCCCGTCCTCTGCAGGAAGTGAGCGAGGGCCAGCACCACCCCGCACAGCCGCGAAGCTGCCCCCTCCCCTTCTTACTGGCGGCGCCTTCGTAAATCTTAGGGTTGGAGCCTCGTCTCAGGAACTCCACCGCGATCCGCCCGAACTCCGCGACCACTGCAACGGAAGCCGGGACCCCGTGAGCGCGGAACTCCCCCGCCTCCCCAGGCCAGAGACCGCCACCCTCCAGCACCGCGCCTCCGCACCCGCGCAGTCCACTTGAGGCAGGAAGGCCAGATGCTCCTTATGCTCCTCCGACAGGTCCAGCAACATTTTCAAAACGCAGCCGACCACACTCGGCTGCGACGACTCTGCCCGGGCCACTTCCGGGTCCCGCGTCCCAGCTCAAAGAAGTTCCGCCGACCTAGTATCCCCAGCTTTGGGTTCCGGTCTACGACTGTCTTTCATTCAAATGCCTCCTGCCATGCAAGCAGGAGTCAGAAAATTCTTCAGTTGGCAAAGCATCTCCTGAAGGTGTAACCCACTGGGTGCATGGTGGTGGACACTGGAAGATGAGAGGATGTTTTAAAACCGACATGCCCCTTAATGGAATTTAGCTTCTATTTATTTAGCATTTATTTTTATTTTTTACCAATAAGAAATTTTATTTTTCATCAGCTCAAGAAGTGACTTATTTATTTTTACTTTTTTTGTTTGTGCCACGAGCTTAATTCTGCTCTGCGATGGACCGGGTGGCCCAGGAAGAGTTGAGACTTAAAAGGCTTAAAAGCTGGGCAAGCCCTGTCAGCTACATTCATTCTTAGTAGTTGAACAACTATTGGTTTTCTGAAGGGAAATCCAGTCACACACATCCATACCTCACAAGTGAGGTAATACTTTGATGAGCCCACAACCCAACACCCAGTCCCCTTGGTTACCAACTCAACTCACAATCTTGTTTCATCTATCAGTGACTCCCTGTCCTCCCAGGTCTCTCCTCCCCAGCTCTCCATCCAGGCTTCTTGTTACCACTAGGTGCTTCTAACATCTGAGCAAGATCCTGCAATTCTAGTGGGAAGAATGGGGATGTGCTGGCAGAAAGGCATTGTGGAGCTTGGAAGGGTTAGCATTAGGATTAGGATGGGATTAGGGTATCAAGACATAGCAATGTTCAGTGAGAACAGAGCTTAACTTGTAAAGGCCTTCTATGGTAACTGGGGCCAGCACAGTGCAGCTGACTGCGGGTGGGTGTACATGGTGGGGTGGGGAGGGGAGGCAGGTAAATCCCTTTGTGTACCTCATACCTTTGACCCCTGGGCATGTGTGTGATGGGTGGCTTCCCGCAGCTCCCAGCACACTTCCAGCCCCAGCCAAGGTGGGATGGGTGGTGGGAGTGATTATTCCAGACTTATATGCTTAGGGGGAACAATTCTGAGGTTTATTCTGAAGTTTCTCAGTACCTGGGGTGTAGGGGGAGTGAATTCCAGTTGCCTTTCTTTCATATTTTTACAACCTTTTCAGCCATCCTACCCCCAATACCATTTTGCTCACATTCTCACTGCTGCCACCTGAGAGTACTTGAGTAAATTAACTAGCACCATTCCTTGCTGCCAGCTCTGCTGTTAGGAAGAACACAAGTAAAATAGAAAATTTGAAGTACAAATACAAGTTGAAATAGAAATAACCCTAATACACAGGCTATTTGTTCCAAGACTCTTGATAAGACAGAACCCTATATACACAGCTGATGATTACTAATCTTAGTGACTGCTCTTAAGTGTTGATTATTAAGGCATGTATTTCCAAATGTCTTCTATTTTTATCTTCTTTAGAGATTTGTACTGTCATACTACTTTTGCATTTCTGTGCTGTCCATCCTTTCTCATTTTCAAATTTTTAAAATTTGGGCCAAGAGGGGCTCTCCCTGATGGTGCAATGGGTTAAAGCCCTGCATTATGAAGCTCCCCGAAGCCACTGCAGCACTAGTTCGATCCTCCACCAAGGAGCTGACCCACATGGCATGGCAGACCTCTCCTGACCCACCCGCTGTTCCCATCAGCAGTGTATTTCAGTACATCTGCCTGTTCTGCTCCCCACTCTATCTCTGGTGAATCCTCTTACCCACCACACCTCTGGCCTGTACCCCAGTTCTGAAAGCATAAATAAATAAATCGTAAAAAAAAAATTGGGCCAAGATTTGGAACATAGGTTTATTAGTCAGGGTTCTCCAGAGAGACAGACTGGGAGTTATCTCCATGACTATCTCTGTGTGTGTGTTTGTGTTTGTCGCTGTCTCTGGCTATTTCTCTGTCTCATTATCTCTATCTCTATATGATGCTTGGAGGCTGAGAAGTCCCATGATCTGTCCTCTGCAAAGTAGAGGGCCAGGAAAGTCACTGGTGTCCAATCTGGAAGCCTCAAATCAAAGATCCAGGCATTGTAATGTCTGAGAGCGGAAGACTGACATCCTCACTTCAAAGTGCAAAGGAATTTGCCCCTTCCTTTATCTTTTTGTTTTACTGGAGCTCTTAATGGGTTGGTTGATGCTCAACTACTTGGGGAGGCTAAATCTTCTTGTCTTAACCTACAAATACAAATACTGATCTTGTCCAGAAGCCTTGTCACAGACACACAGAAATAATGCTTTACGAGCTATTTGGACAATTTTCACTTGAGTCAAATTGACACATACAACTAGTCACCACAATATGGAACACAATTATTTTAAAATTTATGCAAACAGTAAGTTTGATACAGAAAATATAGACCTTCAAAAAGAAAAATAAATTTGAGTCATTTCTATATCCAATTAAAATGCCATAGCACAGATGTATATATGAACTTATAAAAAAATACTATGATTCCTTACTAAATTTCAACTACATTTATCCTTTTTAAGCTTGCATTTCCTTTTTGAAAATAATTAGTACATGAGTGTCAATATAATTATGTTTAATGGCCACAATGTATTGCAAGGTAAAGATTACAGAAATATATTTAACCAGGCATTTCTACATTTTGCCTTTGACAAATCATGAAAAGATAAACTAATCTGTACATACATCTTTATGCACTTCAGATTTCCTGAGGACATTGGAGGACAACCATCGTGAAGACTATTAGCACTCTATGACAGGGCTGGCTCCAGTTCCTGGTGAGTATTCCTGATTTTACTTCTAAGTAGCCCTCTGCGGTGGTGCCACCACCGCAGACCAGAAGCTAAACCACAGAACAGTTAAAACACTTGGCTTTGATTTCAACTTGGGCTGGCTGACACTGAAGCCTGTTTCCTAACCATGTGCTTTGGGGGTTTGGCTACATTGCCAAATGTCTCTCTAGAAAACCTAAACCAATTTAGTATTTGCTTTGCTCCTTTCAGCATTTCCTTGTCAACAGGGGGGATTATTCCTCTTTAAATGTATGTATAATGTGATGGATAAAAATGAAACCTCACTTTTGAAAATATTGCACTTCTTAGTTTTCTACAACAGTATAGGATTCTTTCATTTCCATGTTGATTCTATTTACAAATTGCTATATCACATTCTTTGCTAATTATCAAAAAACATTAATTTCTTATGCCTTCTATCTCTAGCATGTAATAAATATCTAATATTGATGAATAAAAGAAGTCACTAATGATTCCAGTAACTATGTTACATAATTACCCGTAATTACCCCTCGTTCAGTTTCACAATTCCCAACACCTGTTGATTCTTTATTCCATAAATATCACTTGCCAACCTCCCGCCAAATAATCATATCTACAATCATATCTTTAAATATGGTGTCATGAAAATAAAAATATTAGGACCCTCCCTGGTGGCACAAGAGGTTAAAGCACAGCACTATGAATCTATCCCCAAGCTGCTAAATCAGGAGTTCAATGAATTCCACCCACCCACAGGAAGGTGACCCACATGATACAGCAGACCTCTCCTGACCAGCTCGCTGCTCCCTTTAGTCTGTGCTTTTGTGGTTCTGTCTGTGCTGCTCCTCACTCTCTCTGGTGATTCCTCTCACCTCCCACCCTCTGGCCTGTCCCCCATTCTTGATGCATAAATAAATATTTAAAAAAATCTTAGCCCATTTTTTCCCAGTTGGTGTGTTAACTTTTCCTTGCTGCTCTTTGCTTGATTTGTGTGTTATAGAAATTTCAACATATGTAAATATAGAATGTCTACTGGTTTTGATATTATCCTCCTCACTCAGTATCACAATTCACAACACCTGTTGATTCTTTATTCCATAAATATCGCTTGCCAACCTCCCGCCAAATAATCATATGTACAAATATTTCCATGTGTCTTTAAAATATACTTTCTTTCTTTTTTTTAAAGATTTATTTATTTATGCATGCAGAACTGGGGTACAGGTCAGAGGTGCAGGGGTAGTGAGAGGATTCACCAGAAACAGAGTGGGGAGCAGAACAGGCAGATCATGGAAGTAAACTGCTGAGGGGAGCTGCGGGTATGTCAGGAGAGGTCTCAGCGATATGTGGTCACCTCCGGGTCAGGCAGGGATTGAAATCATGTGGAAGTGGCTTTAGCTTCTTAGTGCTGTGCTTTAACCCACCAGGGAGGGTGGTCCAGATATACTTTGTTTCTGAAACAATGTATTGCCAAAGCTAAAACAAAAAAAAAAAATAAAGATTTTCCAGTCATCATCAAATGTCTGTTCAATATTGTTACTTCTTCCATTTTCCTACATAGGTTTAAGCCCTACAGATTCCTCTTCTACCTTTCTCCTCTACTTCCCTCCTTCCTTCCTGTCTTTCTCTTTGTCTCACAGTCCTTATTGTTTTTGCTGTTGCTGAAGACATTGAGTGATTTCTTACAGAATTCCCTTACATCTGATGTTTACTGACTGTATTACCATTATGCTGTTGAATATCTTCCTCTCTCTCCTAAGCTATCTGTAACTGTGGAATTAGATCTACATAGTTTGTTCAGGTTATGTTTAGACTCTTTTTGAAGGGTCTCTTCATCTTCTTGTGGCATGGACAGCAGGAGGTTCACATTTTATTTCCCCATTTTAGGGTGTTCATGTGATAGTAACGACACATGGTGCCTCACTCCCTATATCCATCTACTGACTAGGAAATTTCCAAAATTGTAATATCTTATAATTCCTTTGGCATATACAAGCATGAAATGTCTGTAAGAAGAAATTCCCCATATCAAATTGTCTGATTGTCTTTAGGTACAATTTATAGAGTTAAGGAAGCTAAGAGTTTAATTTTCTTCTATTTCAAAAAAGTGAGTTGGTTCTTAGTAACTTTCATTGTTACCACACAAAATCATATTTTTGAATATAGTTGGTTGTTAAAATCATTGTAGTTGCTATCCTTATTAATTCTGAAATTCTCACCTGTGGATAACCAC